CTTTTGAACAACTATCCAGCCCAGCCTTCTAATTTTGATATAGTGATGTGTCCAAAACTTGGAATTATCTGGTTCAACATAGAATTTTGCATGCCTCATAATTCTCAAGCAGCAATGTTATTTCCCTCAAAAAGAAATATTTCCAATGAACGGAGAAGCATATGGGAAGAGGGTTTTTTGTTTTGTTTTTGGCTTGCTATAAGTTGAAGCTGTCACGAAAATACAGGATAGAAGGATAGCTAGTAGAGCTTAGTAAAGCCTTTGCAGATGCTCTTATTGGCTGCTGGGATTAGAAAGCTTCTCAGAGCTTGGTGAGTCAAATTTGGAGGCTGCACATCTTTCCTTTTCTCAAAGGCTCAGGAGCATTGTATATTACAACCAGAATCATGAGTCAGTTTAAAATTATTGGGGGACAGGGGCGGTGTTAAGGGGTGACAAAGGGCCCCCAAAGCCTGGGTCTCCTGCCCCTTTCCCCCTACTTATAGGGCTGTTGAGGCCTCTGTCCCAAGCCCTTAAGTACTTTTCAACACCCCTGTTGAGGGGCTGTGAGTAGAGGGAGCATTGCCTTAGAGTTAGTGACTCATTTCTGAATTGCACTGGATAGTTCGCCTCTAACAACTGTAGCATGTCTAGTTAATCTTCTACTTTGCGAGTAAACCAGCTGCCAAAGTAAATTCTCTTTAAATGCTTACCAGACTCTCTGATCACAGTACCTATCGTTCACTGTTGGATGCCCTTCTCATTACTCCTATTATCAAACCACCAACTCTGGAAAGTACAAGACCATCAAGACAATCAGCAAGTGCTTTTGAGATGCAAAGAAACTGGAGACCGTAAGAGTGTGCGACAGGAATGGTTTTGCACTCCTTTGACTTCTTATCTTCTAACTTGTTAATGGACTGTCATGAATTAATTCACACTTACGTATACCACTCATGTAGTACTTAGCTCCAGCAATGGAGGTCTTCTTGCGGTTTATTTTCACCAGTACTGATCAGTCACTATTAGCAAAATATCCATTACAACCTAATAGAATGGGACAGGGAATCTTGCTGCATGGGGGGAAGTTTTGCTTTGTGTGTGTGTGTGTGTGTGTGTGTGTGTGTGGAGGTGGGGGGGCACAGAGCTGTTAATCACTAAAAAGCTGTCATCATAAATTGTGCAGGTTGGTGGTGGCCTTCCAACTTGTCTTGAATTTGTGATGTGCTGCATAGCACCGAACCTTTTCCCTTAATTTAAAAGAGGTGTGATCTTTTTGTTAACCGCAAGGTGGGAAAATGTTACCAGAGTGGAATCAATAGTTTTGAATGAGGTACTGGCAACAGCTCCATCAGTGAAGAAGCCACATTATTGTATTATTGGAACAGAGAGTCTCTCTTCCTCAGATATTCACTGACTTAATCTTATGAGGCTCTTACTGTCGGTAAATGGGGAGCAAATAAATGGTTTTATACACATTTGACAGCTACTCCATAAAATGTTTCATGTTTCCTTGTGGGGTGGGACATTTTGTTCTGTGTCATACTTCCTGACCACAACTATGGTAACATTAGACCTAACTTTCCTTGGACGCTTTATTTAACCTACAAACCAGACGTCTGTGTTTTGATGGTTTAGATGCAACTAGCTCATTTATTGTGTCTAGCAAACTAGTTTCCTTTAGCTTGGCATACATGGACCATTTCACTATTAACGTGCCTCAGGAGCAGGCATAATTCTGAATATCCCAAGTCACAGTATACAAAGGATTTTGTTTTGTTGTATCATAAATTCCTTAAGAGCAGTGAATGTCTGTTATGTATTCCACAGCCAGATGAGTGTCTCCCCTCCCCCCTCCCCATTTTTTTTATGCGCAACTTTTCCGCCCCGTACTTCATAAAACTTTGTCCTTGTCCCTCCCCAAATCTGGGTTGTTATGCCAGTTCTAGGCCAGTTTTATAATATATGAAAGTACTACCATATGTCTTTCACAATAGTGAGGTGCAGAAAAAGGTTGGAAAGAGGGAACGTTTTCAAAAATCGTAGGCATATGAGAAAATATTATGAAACTACAGGAGTATAGGGTTTCACGTTTCAGCAGCACAGTCAGTTGAAAGCAGTCAGTCTTCAAAGGCTTGTTCTCTCATTAAATAACAGGAGTTGTTTTTCTGCTAGTGTAGCTGCATATGTGCTTCCATACATAATGTGCTTCCATACAATTGACCGCTGCCATATACTCTAGTCATGTGTCGGTTGCCTGTGGAATATCTTTGAATTGACCCATCCAGTGCAGAAACACAGGGGCATGACACGAAAAGTTTCTTCACTTCCTGCACCTCTGAAAACGGGAAGAGTGGTTGGAATGAACGTACCCTTTAGACTAGGACACGAGTGGGGAAATGTGGCCCAGTCAATTGCTTTATTTACCACCACAATTTGGCTACCACTGCCTGTATGTAGATGCAATGCTAACTCTCTGCAAACTGATTTGCTAATTAGGAGCCGGACTCAGAAATGTGGTTTTTCCTCCTCTTCAGAGTGTGTACTGGGGGAAGGGCGGCTGGAGTCTGAGTTGGGGAGAGGGGGGCAGTGGTCTGTGAGGACCTGTACAAGCCAGGAGGCAAGAATCAGAGGGGCAGGGGAAGCTTCAGAGCTGGAGGAAGAGGAGGCAGAGGCAGGCCAGGCAAGTGAAGGGCCAGGTGCTTGCCCACCCTCTTCTGCACCACTGTCTCCCAGAACCAGTAAAGAAGTGAAGTGGGAAGAGCAGAAGCAGCTTCCTTGCAGGTGTAGTCTCCAACTAGGTGTTCACAGCCCGTTGGAGAAAAGTACATAAATTGGTGGAGGGGGAGTGGTCACCAGTTGCCACACCTGTTCCACAGAACGCGGACCTGGGAATAGCTCCCTAAGCAGTAGATTGGTGTGTGTAGGTCTCCAGAAGTGGCTGTGTTATCTTTGACAATAAAGAGTTCATTCTCTGCTGTGTGCATTATTTGGATGGGAAGCGCCTTTGACAAACATGACTTGTGATCACACAGGGCCCCCGGACGTTTGACAGTCTATTGACCCTGTGCCACCACTGTGATTGCTTTCTTCGCTGCCACCACCCCGTTTCTCACGGGGACACACGGAGTCCAGACAGTTGTTAACATAAACAAATAATCAAGTTTATTTTTAAATGCAGGAACAAGCTTATGGTTTCAGTTAGTTTTTCTTGACAGTTTCTTAATCTTAGTTCCTAACAACTTCAAACTGATTATCCCCAACTATCTATCTGACTCCACCTAACAACCAACCCACTGCCTATTCCTCCCTCTTCCTTCTCCAATTCCCAAACCTCAACTGACTTTCAAAACCTCCCACTCTAACTTTTACTCCCCCCTTGCATTCCCACTGGCCAATCACATCACACTCATTTAACCCTTTCCTTATGACCCATCCTAGGAGGCAAACGCCACATAATCAATCAATTTTTAAAATAAACTTGAATTGAAACCATAGATTAAAATGGAACCAGAAACTATGATTATGGGTGAGCTCTGGTTTCTGTTGTTGCACGTTTAACAAAGGAAGGGAGGAGAATTTGCTTGGAGAGGGAAGGGGGAAAGCATGTGCTCCTTGGGCTCCAATTTGCAAATTTTGTAGGGACTACAATCTAGTTGCAAAAGTCCATTGGTCGTGTAATGAAAAAAGGCAGAGAGAACTTTGTGCACATCTGTCCAAGGGATGCATTTCCCCAGGAACTTAGAAGTCCAAGGGTAGACATCTAGGATTTTGCTGCAGTAGCAGCCCAAACACAGGTAGGTGGCATTGTAAAACATGCAAGTATAATTCGCTCTGTTACTTGTACCAGGCAAGTGGCTGCCTTGGCTGCCTTTTAAATTGTGAATTTCCAAACTTCCTCTATTAGCACATAATTGACACCTTTCTAGGATTGTAACACTAATGATTTAGTGTTATGGAGGAAACCATGGTGTGTTTTGAGGAAACAGATTATGCTGCTTCTGAAAAAGAATGCTTTGTGCTTGATGCAACTTGGATTCCCACTTCTCACACCTTTATTGCGTGTGCCCTTTTTAACAGAATCCAAGGCAAAAAGAACTTGAATAGCATTACCCTATTTGTTCTTTTTTACCTCTTTGTGAGCCTGGCAGTTCCTCCTTTTTCCTTATAAACCATTGGAAACACTGTTACTTTTAGCAACATAAACATTTACCTTTGTAATTTACAGCGGAAAGTTTTTTTTTAAAGAGCAGAATAGGATTATGGGGTGGAAAGTAAGAATTTCTTCTCCCTTTGTGTCTCCTGTGACCTTGGCACCAAGCATTTTTTTTATGTTGCCATCGTGCAGGCATTTTTCCTCCAAACATTTCTGTTATGCCTGCAAACATTATGAAATGGCAGGTTTATTTTTACATCTGTTGATCTCTGTTTAACATTCCAGAAACCACAAATTAGAGTTCAATACCTCCCTCCTTTTACTGGTGATAAAAAGGTGGAACCATTTTAAATACTTGGTGCATTTCTCTTTGTTTTTAAAAAGAGATGCCTGAAACATAGCAAAAAGTTGATTTTCATTAGAAGCTAGCTAGAAGCTACCGTATTTTTCGCACCATAGGGCGCACCGGACCATAGGGCGCACCTAGTTATGGGAGGCGGAAAACAAGAAAAAAATTATTCTGAACCCCAGAAGCCAGAACAGCAAGAGGGATCTGGCTTCTGGGATACCATGTGGCTGTTCTGGCTTCTGGGGTAACCACGCCAAGCCTCCTCAGGGCAGCGGGATGAAGGCTCCCCCTGCCCAAAGAGGCTGCGCAGGGCTAAAGCAGAAGCCAGGACAGACGCATCGCTGAAGGGGCACTGCGCCTTCTCTCTCTCTGTGCAGCGCCCCTCCTTCACAGAAGAGGCGCTGCGCAGAGAGGGAGAGGGCGCAGCGCCCCTTCAGCGAAGCTGGAGAAGGAACAGAAGACCACCCTTCTGTTCCTCCTCCGGCTTCGCTTGGTAGGCGTTGCTCAGGGGCGCTGCGCCTTCTCCTCTCTGCAGCACCTCTCCTGTGAAGGAGAGGCGCTGCGCAGAGAGAGAGAAGGTGTAGCGCCCCTTCAGCGAAGCTGGAGAAGGAACAGAAGGAGACCCTTCTGTTCCTCCCCCGGCTTCGCTTGATAGGCGCGTTGCTCAAGGGGCGCTACGCCTTCTCTCTCTCTGCGCAGCGCCTCTCCTTCACAGGAGAGGTGCTGCGCAGAGAGGGAGAAGGCGCAGTGCCTCCTCCGGCTTCCAGGACAGGTGCGTCGCTGAGAAGCCAAGGAACCTGCATTCGCTCCATAGGACGCACACACATTTCCCTTCATTTTTGGAGGGGAAAAAGTGCGTCCTATAGAGCGAAAAATACGGTAATCCTTAAATCAGAGACATGACTAAGGCTGCAGTCCTAAAGCAAAGGTAGTTAAACAGTTGTTTATTATTGTTTTATATATGGAGAGAGAGAGAGAGTATCTTTATAACAAAAGTCGAGAGGGAAGGTTGATTGGCAGTGGGAGAATAGAATGTTGGGTGGAGCTAGAGGGAAGTGACTTGTACAGAACATTAGGAAAACGATGGTTAATTATGGTTGGGTAACATGAGGGCTAGCATTAGGGGAATATGGGGCAAACAGATATATATATATATATATATATATACATATATATATATATATATATATATATATATATATATATATATGAATACAGTTTTCAGAAGCTGAATGTCCGGCGTGACTGCCGTGGCTTCCAATTGGCTGCAGGAACCTCTTGCAGGGGTTCAGAAGCTGCACTTTGGTTTCCAAACGTTTTGGAAGTCGAGCGGACTTCTGGAATGGATTCCGTTTGACTTCCAAGGTATGACTATTTGTAAAAAGCAGTGGGAATAGTTGCTGGAGAGACAGTATGTTAAGTCAGAATGCTAGAGTTACAAGAATGCCTGCATCTAATAACTGTTTGTTCTGGTTCTTGTGTTCACTGATTAGACATCTATGCCACAAAGGGGAGTCTCCTTTTATAAGGAGAGTCTTGCTGCTCTCTAAATCAGTAGGTAGTAGAAGAAGATACCTTAGGGAAAGCCAGGACTCCGTAGAATAGCTTAAAGGATTGATCTATAGTTACAACCCAGCAACAGGTTCTAGAAAGAGACCTGCTCAAATTCTGTTTCCCTATCTTCATAAGCGAGGCAGGTGGTTATGGAATATGATCTTTGTTGTGGTAGTGGCCTGACTTTGGAATGCTCTCCTGCAAGGCTCATCTATTTGCACTTTTCAAGTTTCCCTCATGAAACATTGATGCAAAGTTTGTCTGAGCCCTTACGCAGTATGACTGACTCTCTCCTTTAATCTCCCTTCCCCCAATATTTTGCTTTACCTGTTAAGTCTGTCTTCATATTCCCTTTGTCAAATGGTATACCATATAAGCACAGTCTCTTATCAGTCTGCCTTGCAGTTTCCATGTACAGATTGGCAACAGTGGGCAAAAATGTCAAATTTTAGGGAGTGTTGGGAGGCAGAATAAAAGCAAACACCCCCTGGGGGGGAGCGGTTGCTGTCAGGCAAAGGTGAACCACCCTTGATATAATGAGAATAAAATTTGACATTTAATGTAGAAAACAAAACTTGAAGGATTGAAGAGCACAAGTCTTGCTGAAAAATGGTTTTGCTTACAGAGGGTACTGAACCGTATTTAAAAGTTAGAGTTAATTGCTTGTGTGGTGAAAAATAAACTGTTTCTGTGTAGATTTACTTATTTCTGGAATTAACAGCACTATGGCCAGTGCTTAGGGATCTGTATGGGCAAGCTGTCTCACTAGTGAGGGATTTTTGACCAGGAATGTTTGCCTGCTACTCTCTTCTTCAATGCAAAATGATAGTAGTGGCTCTGAACTGTAGGCTTCCTGATCTAAAGAATCCAGCAGATGTCTGGCCTTTCTGACCTCTGTAGTCTGCCCTGGGAATGACCGCCCCACTGTTTTGCTTAACTTTCTGAAGTACTTTTGTACATTAGCTTGTTGCTCATGTACCAAGTTGCAATCTAGGCAGACAATGATGCAAAATTGCCCATGTTGAAATTCATTCCTTTTCACAAAAGAGCACCCTAACCTGTACTGCATGATGTGTAACTTTTTAAATTTCTAGCACCAAAGGGAGTTCCTGGATTGCGGCAGTTCTCTGTCTTGTCCCCATAAAAGCCCAAGAGAGTTCATTGTTCTTCAAGAATACGGCAATAAATTAGGTAGATGAAGAGGAGGGGGAAAATATTTAAAAATTATATGTAGAGATCTACTTTACAGAATTAATTCTAGCTTGGGGAAATGCAATACATAGGTTAGGCAAGTGCTTTGCATATTTCAGCTCTTCTGTATCTCATTAACTTTTACTTAAGTGGCTCTATTGCTCTAATTCATTCTTCATTAGTCACTGTCGCTAATTTAGCTTTTTCCTAAATTTAATTAATTCTATTTTCTGCATGTTCAAATTATATTTCCAGCTGCAATGCTCTTAACAGTTAGTGAGTTTGATTTGATCTCTGGAGGACTTGAAGCAGATTTCTAAATCTTGAAGCTGAAAGCAAAATATCCTCATATGTAACCTCAGAAGTCAGACATGGGAAGTATTGATTTCAGGCAAACTGTCAGCATAGATCTCTGCTGTGAAGTGAAATGAGATGAGAAAATCATACCCTTACACACCTTCCCCCCTCAAAGTGATTCACAGATCTCTCGCAGAAGGCTATTGACTGGTCTTCTGTCAATGATACCACACTGGTCTGGACCACCTAATTTACCATTCTTAATAGCCCCTACTGGGTGATTCACTGAGGATGCAACAGAGGCAGAGAGAGATGTTTTTTTCACAGCCATCAGTGCCATCCAGTTGGAATGGCTATGCACTTGTGTCTCTTTTTGATCAGATTCACACCAGAACGTGTGCCACCTGCTGTGTGGCCTCCTTTATCTTCTGAAGCTTTTTGGTAAACCAAGCAGCCTCCCAAACTTCCCATGGCGAGAGAGGGGGGTTTAGGAACAGTCATGTCAATGACCCTTTCGATCCACTATTCCACAGTGAAACCAGGGCGTTGACATGTGGGGTGTGAGCCCTTTTGTCTTTCCTGCTTTAGGGAAGCACTTCATCATTTCAGGCACTTTTTCTCCCAATCTGTCTCCGGTATTGGAAGTGAGCTGAGAGAAAGGTACCTGAAGTGACAGATCTCAGGGAGGCGAAGTGTCGAGAGGTGAGCTACTCTCACTTGCATGCCTCTTTGAATTCCCTCCATTTCAATGCACAAATGGGACAGACACATGAACAACAAATATGGCTGCCCCATCGTATCTGGTTTGGCCCTTTTGGTGGCAAAGAGAAAGTAAGAGAATCTGAAGGGATGGAAGATGGGGAAGGGGCAGCAGGAATAGGAGGGCTGAGGGGAAAGGGGCCACAGCTCTCACAGCAATTACCGTATTTTTCACCCTATAGGATGCACTTTTTCCCATCCAAAAATGAAGGGGAAATGTGTGTGCGTCCTATGGGGCGAATGCAGGCTCCTTGGCTTCAGCGATAGCAACGCGAAGCCTCTGAAGCCTGCGCTCTGGAGGCTTTGCGTTGTTTTCGCTGAAGCCAGGAGAGTCTGCTCTTTGAGGCTGGGGGGGGGGAGCAGAGCTTCCCCCCACCGCCAGCCCCACAAGCTGGGTCGAAAAGCCCGCAGGTGCCGCGCCTCTTTAAAGGGTGCACGGCTTCTGCGGGCTTTTCTATGAGGTGGGGGAATTCCCCCACCTCATAGAAAAGCCCGCAGGAGCCGCGCAGCCTTTAAAGAGCTCGCCGCTCTTGGGGGCTTTTCCCCAAGGAGGGAGAAGGGACTGACTGGCCGAGTCAGTCCCTTCTCCCTCCTGCGGGCTTTTGCGGGAGGTGGGGGAATTCCGCCACCTCCCGCAAAAGCAGGGAGAAGGTCTTGGAGTAGCGCACAGGCTGTGTGTATCTTGTCCACTGCTCCCAGAGCTGGGGGGGGGGCATCATATTTTTTTCCTTGATTTCCCCCCGAAAACTAGGTGCGCCCTATGGGCCAGTGCGCCCTATAGGGTGATAAATACGGTAAGTCTCTCTTCCCGCCTTCAAAATTTCTCTGATCTTTTACTAGCTCTTTTGATAAAAGGAGTGTTGGTCGTTTCAGCCTAAAACTGAAACTTAATTAGAACCAACCAATCATACGTAAGAAAATGAAAAGCACATGGTGATGCATTAAATAACATGTTCTAGCCTGCCTGCCTTATGTCTTTTAAAAGAAGGACATGGGAAGCTGAGTCAGATTCATCCATCTATCTTTGCCTTGGGGTGGGGAGTCTTTCGTCCTCTAGGTTTTGCTGAACTACAACACTCAGTCTCAGCCAGCAGGGCCAATGGTCAAGGCTGATGGGAGTCAACACTATCCGGAGGCCAAGTAACTGGCAGAATCTCTCTTCTTGCAGATGTTGGGGATTGAACCTGAAACCTTCCGCATTCATGGCACATGGTCTCTCTCTCCCCCCCCCCCCCGATTCTTAAATGCAATTTGAAAGGCTTTCTTAAAGCTACGGATCAGGGAAATTGTATCACTTAAAGGAACTTAAAAGTCCTTTACTACTTTTAATGGTAAAAGATGCATTCCTTTGAGGAAGGTAACCAGTTGCCGGGGGGCTCATTCTTGAGCTTTTTGCTGGCTGTGTTAAATGAACTTGACAGATGAGCAGCTCTGCGTTAGTGTTTCTCAATATTAATGTGGGATTTTCTTCCCTCAAAACACTGTCCCATTAATCAGTCTGACTGATACACAGAATTATGTCAGAAAGCCGATTGCTATGGAAATTAGCGCTTTTTAAGTCGTTGTGCTGCATATTGACAGCATTTCCATGATTACTTGAACGTGATGCAAAGATTACCACTGGGAGGAAGCCCAGAGGGAGTGCAGCAGCAGAAGAGAAAAATGTTTTCTGATTTGATGAAGTACATCTTACAAAAACAGTTCCAACAGTTATTGGTGTGTGAGACCTGCTGCAAATGTTGACAGAGAGCCTCCTTCTAAGCTCAATAGGCATTGGAGTGAGCCATAAATCAAAAGTTTCATGAAAAGGCCACTCTCCACTAAGGCTGCAGCCTTCCCTTCCATTAAAATACCCATAGTTTGTTGCATTGCAGCTGTATGGCTTTATTTTTACTGTTATCATTCATCCTACATATAGTGTTCCATTCTGTGCTTATTTAATT